TGCCACTAGTACTAGAGAGCAAGCTATAACACGGGATAGACAGTCGCTTGACATGGTGTTAGGGCCAATGAGCCAGGGCGTGTGCCTTGGAATGCATTTCCACCTTCCCATACGGTAACATCTTTTGATTGCTTTTTGAATGTTGCGTCTTTTTGCCATCAGTAGCATCCGCCGGTGAGAAGGAGTGTGTGCTCATCAGCAATCTACAGGTCTAGAGCTGGCCCGGCTTTTTGGTCTCGGTCTCGGTCTGGCTGGTACTCCGCATGACATGACATGACTTTCGCTCTGAGGTGCTGGTTAGGTTCCTCATGTCACAGCATTGTGTCTCTTCACGATACCACTTGGTACTAGATTCTCCTCCATTAAAACACCTTCAACCGAGCATGTAGCGGAAGCGATCAGACAAAATAAGGGTGATTTGATCCGCACGTGTCGGATATGTCATACAATAGCTTTTGTATAAGGCCGTCGATCCAAGAATTGTCTACGTTATGAAGCGTGACGGGGCCTACCATATCAAACAAACTATCGATGGATCCAGAATTGTATTACGAGTTCTACCCAGGACAGATCCCTTCCACAGACTCAGACTACCAACAACAACAGTCTAGCCTTTCGCTCCATCACGAGTTTAGTAAGTGGACATCTTCCAAAACATTGATCTAGACGTGGAACTCATCTTGACAGACTTTCAAGCTCTGCGCCCGAACACGGACCGGACCTATTTGACGCCCATTTCACATCAGGAGGCATTATCAATACATCGATATCGGTATCAACAGAAGGCTGTTCTCATTGGTATCAACTACTTCAGACAGCGGGGAGAACTCGCAGACTGCGTCCGGAATGCCCAGAACATGTCACAATACCTCATTGGGTATCTTCAGTACCGACCGCAGGATATGATCATTCTGACCGACCATCACTCTGATCCTATGAGCCAGCCAACAAAACGTAACATTCTGTGTGCGATGCATTGGCTGGTCAAAGACACACAGCCAAGCGACTCCCTCATGCTCTACTACTCTGGTAAGACCCCCCGCCTTGGGACGGTAGCGTGAGTGACATAACCTTAATCACATCAGGACACGGCGGATCCACTGAGGAGGTCAATGGTGATGGAGAGTGTGAGCATGACGAAATCATCTATCCAGTGGATTTCAGGCGCACGGGGCATCTCACAGGAGGTGAGATGTACAGAATCATGGTGTCGTCATTGCAAACTGGCGTGCGGCTTACGGCCATATTTGACTCCTATCATACAATCACCGGCCTGACTCTTCCATCCGCTTGTACAACGCAAGGTCTTCTATAGAGTATGGGCGAGTTTCACATATCAAGAATAACAACCACAGTCAGCACTCCAATCAGACGTTGGGAGCAAGCAAGCCTGAGACTAGCGTGTGCCTTTATTGGACTACGCACCATGTCAATACTAGACGAAAGGGCGCCAATATGGCGGCCTTGGAGATAGCCACAGCACGGGGGCTGTGATAAATGTACTGGGCTGCGTTGGGGTCTAAGTCGGCCTGCCAGAATTTGTCTCTGTTCACTGTGGGGCTAAGTACTAAGGGGCTTCTCACCTGGTGAGGCTTTATATGAACCTGGGGCCAGGGAATCTCTGCTAGGGGTAGGTGCTCTCAATTTAAATCTCTATGGAAATGTCTATCATGACCAGTTGATTCATATATAAGTACTGTACGATCACCCAAGGTGGCATCTAAATGCAGCTCAGAACGACGACTTGACCACTATTAGATAGATGAAAAGATGTATAAATTAGATAGTAAGATAATAAGTATTATAATATACTCCCTCTAGGGATACCAAAGTTTCGGTAATAACTCAGGCTTGATTTATACCTCGAGCCAGTATCTGTAGAGCTGATCGTTGCCTTATCGGCCTCCCTGGGGGAATTGAGCTTAGCGCACACGTGACCATGACGACACATGTGTGAATGCACATGCCCTCAGACACAGTCACCAGGCACAACGCAGTCTCCCCATTCACGCGTATCCCCAAAACAATACACAAAGGAAGAGAACTTGATATTCTCATCGTTATTCCCCAATCTGGTTTTCTCCCTTCTATTGGTGGAGCGCTTGATTATCATCATCGTTGTCATCCTCGCCGTCCATCATACCCATCGATCGTCTGTGACGCCAGCAGCCGACCAACCAAGCAACGAAAAAGGCGGCAGAAGCGAGGAGCAGGAAGGTCCATTGTTCAGGCGATCAGTTGATCAGTCGTTCTCAGGATCGATTAATTCATTGACGGGGCATAGGCCGTAGTCTCGGTGCTGCTACTCGTGCCGCCTCCGCCGGCCATCTTCGTTGAAGATGACTTCTTCTCCTTCATTCTTGTCGTCGCCGCCCCCTTCTACTCCTTCTTCTGTTGCTGCTGCTGCGCCTTCATCCAGCAGCTCTCACTGTCATGGTGCCTATCACAAGGACCCTTCTCCAACACGTAATACCGCCCAAGATTACCAGCAGCAGCAGAAGGCACTGCTCCGGCCTCAACCTCCTCCGGAGGATGAGGGGTCTGCTTGCTCGGATGCATCTTATCTTTCTCCTGCGCTCCTCCCCCCTTGGTCTCCTCAAGTGCCGGAAATCAGCGCCGATTTGGCTGGTCTAGTCACCACCGCCGGGAACCAGCATAAAAGTCATGAGGACGGTCGCGACCAAGGAACGTCAGGTACAGCAAGTAAGTAGAACTCCTTATCCCCTTAATAGGATCATCACTGAATTGGTGCTGAAGAACCCCTTTCGTTGACTGACACCAATACTGATGCGTGCATGTCTCCAGCAGAGACTCGTGTAGCTGAAGAACCTTGCGTCTCCGTCCTAGGGCAATCGTCCTCTCATGATGATACAGCTAGTACTGTAGCAACGTACCACGAGATTGGCCCGAGTCCGCGGGACCGCCTGATAGATTTTCTGGACGGACTCCAGCTTCGAGAGGACGGAGAGGGGCCAGTTGACCGTACCTTTAGTCCCCTGATAGGATTTGGCTTGACCGACATCTTTGACGGCCCTGACGAAGGTGGACTCTTCTATCAGGTTGCCTTAGGAGCAACCATAGATCCGCTCTTTAGGGTGTATCCTGGTAACGGGCCCAAACCCTTCACGTTACGGCTTGCTCGTGCTCTCTCAAACCGTACGAACGCGAACGCGGAGGCCGCAGCGGTCATTAGCACCAACACCACAAACCCGTGCCAAAGCTCGCAACGACAAGAACGACTGCCAAACATCATTTTTCCGATTGGTGTGCTATGTGTCGGGAAGCGCAGCTCTCGCGGTGGCAACAATGGTCCCGCTACCAAGTCTACTGCTGCACACGTGACCGGCTATGTAGTCGCCGTCGATATGACCACCGTGACGGGCCAAACGAACGACAGCCCCGTCTGGATTATCTACGACGACTACGAACGTGTTCGTGCCTCGCGCAATCGTAAAAAATTCAAATACTGGCTAAGGCGCTATTCCCTATACGACTGCGGCCCCTCATTTGAGTGCGCCTCCTCTGTGCCACTGTGTACCGAGTGGGAAGAGGATGACGAGGATATTGAGAATTGGGACTACGATGCGCTCTTAACTCTTGTTCCGCCTGGGCTCCTGTTCTCTGGAGTGCTCAGCCTCCCCTCGCATCCAGACGAAACGCAGACTTGGAGGCCTGACGCGGACCATGGCCAAGCCAGCCTGCTTGGGACTAAGAGCGGCGACGGCAGCGACAGCCCTAACCTCTCAGATCCTACCGAGGTCGATATAACAACAAACGATGCAGAAGTAGCGGACGGCCGGCGCGGGCGCAGCAACAGCAATATCCACATCCACAGCAGTCCTGCCGTATCGTTCTTGGATGGGGACCCAATCGCTCGGGTGCTTGCTGAAGACGAAAACAGCTGGCCACATCGACGTGGTCCTTACTACGATGCCGCCTGCATCATGCCGTCGTATCGCCAACTCGGCTGTGCAAGTCTCATCCAAGCCCAGGCTAAGATGTTGGCGACACGCTGCGTCATACCGCAGAGGTGACTTTGCATCCGCCAGCCGCCAGTCGGCGAGATATACGCGAGCGCGAGCACAGGCCTGACTGCTATTGTATTCTATTTGTAACTTTACTGTTCTGACACCTGTCTTTTGTGAGCAGCCGGCCGCCAGCTGGCGATTTGATGCCTGAAGACAAAGGGGCGCGGAAATCCAAGGGGAAGAGATCAGCAAGCAAGCTGGCTGACGCATGTCATCGCGTCATCAGGTATCCATCCACACTATCCCTGATCAAATCGACCCAAGGGACATAGGTGCACGTGCTTGCTTATCATGGAAGATGGAAAGTTTGGTCCATTCTCCCCGTCAACCACGCGTTTTGACTCGTCGTCAAAAAGCTCGCAATGAAAAACAGAAACTAGCAAAAACCAACCAAAAAACCACAACATGGCTTCCAGTCAACCCACCGTTGCTTCGAGTCTTTGCAGCCCTCACCAAGCGCATGTCGCAGTCGCTTCGAATGCTTCCAGGTTTGGAACCGTCCTTGACCAGGTCGCCACTAGGCTCAGGGCAGTTGTCCCCGAGTCAGATGACTGGCTTGCTACACTAGGTGAACTCAAGGCCCAAGTGGCGAGCAGCATTCGATGCTGGGATCTTCTTACGGATCGACTCGGCCCTCAACCGTGTCCAAAGCCGAGTAGAAGCTTCCATAGAAGAGCCGGTTATCTTCTCCTGTATAAATACTCACATTGTATACTACGGCTTCTCGACACCGTCCATGGAGCATTACCTGACATTTCCGCTGACGTTGACGGATCCACGCCGCGAGCGCTCGCGACAGTGCCATCTACTCACAGACCGGCCTCCGGATTGATTGCTGGGGAGGTCTACTCATGCTACCCGTTTGATCGACAAGAAACCCTTACTTTACCGCGAGGATGCATGGATGATGACGGAGATATTAACAACAAACACAAGTCCCTACTCGAGTACAGAGCGGCCCTGGCGGCCAAGATGATGGAATTTGAGCGGGCTTTCGATCTATCAGACCCTAAACGGTCAGAGCGAGAAGACGACATGCCTCACGAGTCATTGCAGGAGATTGCGCTCATGATACTACTGAATGGAGGTCAAGAAGGTTATGGTAAGATAACTGTCTCACATATTTTTTTGACTGTACTGTGATGCCTGCTTACACATTGCCACGCATCCAGATGAAATAGGCCAGTTCCTGAAGCAGCTGAACAAGCCTATCACCCCCGAGCAACGGGCGATCAATGACCAGCAATTTCCTTCCGTTCAACCTCGAACTATAGCCATATATAGGCAGCCCAATGGCTTCTACTTTATCGGCACATCTATCGAGCAATGGGTGAAGTTGAAGGAGCTAAAGAAATACCGGAGGGACCTCCGGCAGGAGCGTATCGACGAGCTGCACGGACAGTGTCCTCGCCATATCCGAGAATACATGGAGGCTCTCAATAAGCCCATCGACGAATACCACACGTCAGACAATAGCCAAGAGAGGAGCGCAAGGGCCACGAATCTCTTAGAAAAGGCATCCGATCAGTTTCGCCACAGAGTCCAAATGCCCGGCTAGATGACTGCCTTTGACTGCTGGGGGGTGAGAAAGCCGCCATGCCTGGCATGCCGACTGCGCTTCGACGTGGTGGATGGCCTCGGGGCCAGCGATGGCGATGGCGGTGTCAACACCAAAGATCACGGCGGCATGCTCGGCCAAGAACAACAACAACAACAACAACAACAACATAATATCTCCAAGTCGTCCTGCTGTGCCGAAGTACTGTGTTGCGCCCAGTTTCTAGCCCACGCTTATTCTAGGTCGCCGCCATTGGCATTGACCATTCAAGAGTCTGGCTGTCTCGCTTGATTTTGAGGGCGTGGTGGTGGCTAAGTCGATTCTCTCACCTTTTTTCTCCTCACCGTACTTAGACAAGGCTAAGAGGATGTACTCACTGGGAGGGATCTTGGCCCTTTGCGCATGCCGCTCACTATCATTGGCAACCCCGAGAAGCCGAAATCTGGGATCTTCACAGCACTTGATCCGCGGCAGCAAGTCATTGCCTAGCTCGCTCATGTTTTCCTTGTGTATATACCCATAAAATATTAGACGATCGACTGTGAGCATTAATTCAGCAAACCAAAATTCACGAAGTATATAGCGATGCTGCAGCATAATGCCGCCCTGTATGCCGGTCCACCTACTGATACCAACGTGACTGAAAGACTTAACCCCTAACTATCCCTTGCTTCTGAGGGGTAGCGGCCATATTGATACAAGGACCGGCTACCATATAGCTATGCTTGCTCATCTAAGTAGGCAAGCAGGTAACAAAATACTCATTCTTTCCAAGGCTATCGCGACACTGATCGTGCAACAATGCTAATGACCGCATGGTATAAACCTTCCCAGGAAAAGACACGCTGTTATTTGCACTGCTTCGGTGATCTTTCGTCAATATCGTCGGACCAAAGACTTGTTGTATATAGACGCTTACGACTTCAACTAACGTGGTCTATGCTTGGGCTTGGCGCTTCCCCTGACCCGGTTGAGAACAGCAGTAGGGTGACAGCGCCATCCCCATTTCCCTCTTTACATTCATTTAGTCACAAATACCGGCCGTTCTTTATGACGCTGTCCGACCTCCCATCCGACATCGCCCATCGGCACAATAGACCATTACTCATGACTCTGCAAATTCAAATCCGTCCCCATTCACGGAGGGAAAGCCTGGCCAGTTTCGAGTATGGAAGCAACCAAGAGCTCTGAAAATGTTTTGCATCACTACGCGGACGTAGCGGTATGGTGGGAAGGCGGCGAAGTCAAGCTCGTTCTAATCGTCAGGATTGTGGAGAGTGGAGAATAGGTATCATTAACCCTATCCTAGAATCAGTTCGTCTCCAAAGGAAATGTCTATTGAGCCAAGGGCGTTCGCTGAGACCATCCCATCAACGATCATTCCTATCGCTTACCCGGCTGCTTGGACCCAGAGAGCATGCCCGACCCATAATGAAGACTCGACCATATGATGCTCCCCACCACCACCGAAAACCCGGACCGAACGGTACCCAGAAGCCACCCGGAAGTGATCAACTTCATTATAGAAAGCCTCGGCGTCGGACCTTTACAGCTTACCATGTCCTGTCTTGCGCTCTTGCCTTCCAAGCATTGCCCACACCACCGAGGAATGCATGCGCTGCATTGAATGAAAGACATGCACTTGAATGGCTCAAGTTTCGAGTTCCCCTCGGATAGATAGATCACGAGAACACCATCCGGACTTTGCAATGCAACATCATTATAGGCAGGGAAAGGGAAGGTGCACGACGACACGGAGGTCGACCTCCTTCCCTAATGCCGTGCTAACTGACGTTGCTGCCTCAAAGCCGCTGGCAGAGCGTCACAATTCAATCAATCGCCCGCTTGCTGCCAGCTGGAGAAGACCATCCGTCATCATAACATCCACCTCGACGTTCACCTGCAATTACACCCTCTATCTGTCTCTTCATCTGTCTCAACGCTGGCCAGCCCTCACAGCGGCATACTCATCTCCAATACGCACACGGTCGATCTAAAGACCGACCCAAGACGCCAAGTCACGAAGGAGGCTCGCGGAGCTAGACCCGCGTCGACATAGAGCCCCAATAGCTGTTATGTCTAATGGGAAGTGCTGCAGTTGCAGAAGCTGCCAGATACCCGAGTATCCATACGTGTGAGTGAGACGACCATGATAAAGTAATGGGGAAAGGGTAGAAGAACAGGATACTGTAACGGAAATCCCACTCTTCGAGCTACAAATAGCTTTGTCGTTATATTTACGATATCATCCGATAGTACTTACTGTACACCTCTGGAAGTAGGAAGTGGTTACTACAGCTCTTTTGTGACAAATCAGATATGACAATTTGGGACAGGGGTGTTAAGCCATAGGTGTCAGTGATAGACCTTACTAGAACAGTTAATTAACCCAAACCCACGACATGCGTTTCATAGTATTCAATTCCACAACTACGAATTCGCTCCAAGGTCAATAAGCGTTTCTATAGGTCTGATATATAGTAGAGGGCGAATTGGGTGTCGTTGATTTCCTTTGCTTAGATTCCTTACATTATGGGTGGTGGCCTGACGGTGATCCGGCTAGAGATCTGTCAAGGTGGGCGGACTTTGACCTCAGCTGCCGAGTAGGCAATGAGTGACTCATCGGTGGGTTGAGACTGAAAAACGGCTCACGCGAAGTACCGCTATGGGAGACCAATGCAGCAGTTTCCATGCTCACCTACAATACCACACGTTAGGCAATAGACAGGATCCAACGGGTGCTGCAAGCAGCGAGGCGAGCCGAGTCTATAGGCTGAACATCCGCGGACCGCGCTCGTTCACCCGAATAGCATGCCTGATGCAAGGTAGGAGTTGGGACTCCCCGAGTCTAAGCAGTAGAACTTTGAAGATACAAACTTATACCTTTCTAAAGTGGCCCCTCGCACTTTTCTTGTCCCATCCTACAATTCATCCTCTCGGAATCTCTTCCTGATGCGATTCTTGTCCATAAACATGACGGATCTTGGGGCTGAATGTCTGCCACAGAAAGACAGTTGCCTTTCAAGAAGCCGTCAACCGTGTCCACATATGTGTTCTTTTCATACACCTCAGAATTGATGACACCGTCCACAGTACATGCTCATAGCATTTGGACTCTCCTTCTTCAATGGACATGCTTGATCTGCACCGGTGTCACTCCTTCCAGAGTGTAGCGCCGTCCCATGTACTGCTTAGGTGGATGTGACCGCTGCACAACCTGGGATCTCCGGTAGGACTATGAGGTATAGCACAAATCCCCATTGCTGCTCTTCCAGCCCGACCCCTTGGCTCCAGGTCAGCGCCCACCGCACAGTCGCAGGCAAAACAGCCTGACGTGGTGAAGGCAGCTTGCTCTGCATGATGATGCGACCGCTCGTTTTCGTACACTCCAGCAAGAAGTCGAAAGAGTCGTAGAGTGACAGGAAAGCAGGAAGATCTAGGGCCACCGAAAGGTCTGCCGAGAGAATCCGAGCCGACTGCCACGGGCGGTCCATGGGCTGCAGATACTTCTGGAGAGCCAAGATGCGTCGAGCTTGGTTGCGACGTTCATGTCTCTACCGATGCCTTTTCGAAGTCATCGCCTTGTTGATTGCTTGTCTGCTTAGCATGGTAGGGAGCTGCAGGCGACGGTTGATCCAGGACTGTCGGCGAGATGATGGGATGGTGAAGCGACCGTGTCGGGTGAGAAGATACGTTTGGATGGGCCGACGACGGATGTGTGCGGCAGGTATGTGACTCAGTTCGGAGGATGTGCAGAGGAAATGGGTAGAATGTAGAGCTCCTGTAGGTGCAGATGTGCTGATGCCTATGCCTGCTTGGTACTCTCCCGAGGCAAAGGACATAACCAGGCCAACAGGTCCCAGGGCGGCGACTGGCTCTGGCACAGACATGGCGTGATGCGAAAGACAGGCGTATGTGAGTCAAGAGACAACTAGTCGTGTGACAGGCAATCGTACAGAAAGCGGAGAAATAGAAATAAAAAAGAGTGCTGATGAGGTGTATCTATGAAAGGGATGGTCTAAGTCAGATGAAAGGGGAAGGAATGATGCTCGCGTGTTGTTGGAGAAGTGAGAAGTGATTTGGGAAAAGGAAGAAGATCAAGGGAACGACATGAGAAAACCACGGGGAAACCGAGGACTTTATCAATTCAAGCTCGAACATTTCACGATTCGGTTCTGGGGAACCAGGAACCGGAAAACGGGTTGTTGGCGGATGTGCATCTGCCCCACATCCGGGAGCCAGGTCGGCGCTCCACCCGGAGACGGGATCGGAGGCGCCGGGCATTGCAACGGCGTTGTGGTACTGAAGTTCAGATCGCTGCTGACGCTGCCGGGCTATTTTTAGTGGGGGTCGGGACACCGAGCTGGGTGGATCGGACGAGGGGAACTGTCTGATTGGTAGCCAGATCTACCAAAGGATAAAAATAAAAAGGATGCCCCCTCCAGTTCTGCCCGGTCTCGTACCTCAAACAGCTCTTGCGAAAGAGGACAGATGTCACTAGCAAGCCTTCCAGGAAAGCTTCCGCGAGGACTGAAGTGAAATTGTAGTACGTTAATGACGGTCTGCAGCCAGCTGCTCAAAAACAGGAGCACCACTTGACTTAGGCGCGCGGGGTCGGTGAGCATGGCACTGTGTCCAGACCAGTCGGACTGGCGGTTAGTCGTCAAACACAGGCAGATGCATGAGCTGCTATTCTGGTCTAGAGAACTGGAAGCCAGCGCTTATGGACATGCACTGCTGCTCCGTGAGCAGACTGATTTGTCAGAGGGGCCTGGCATCGCCGGGGGGTCAGGGCACCACCAAAAATGGGTTCGCCGTCTGAATCTTGTCCCACACCGTCATAAGTTGCAGTAAAGAGATTGGATACCGGTACAGTGACCAGAATGGGTAGCAAAAACGGTCTAGCTGTGGATTATATAAGGTGGTCTGCCGAGCTAAAAGATACCCTCGCATCTGGTGGATCCAACAGGAGAAGACTTCTTATTTGATTGGGCAGGGTTTTTAGCGCCGGCAGATGGATTGGCTGAGAGAAGCCGTCGCGCGCTAACAGCGCGGCAAACTTTCATGACGCCGGTCCCTTTTGATTCTAAATCTATGAGATGGATTGTTTCTCTTCGCACCATTATGGCTATATTCGTCGGGATGTCAATTCAGGATCCCACGAGACGAGAATCACGGCACGGCACGAAAAGAATGGAGAAAACATGTTGTGCAATTTGAAGAGGCATTCAGCCCTTCGTACTGCATTGATCATCTATCTACTGACTGGACTGCTTCACTCACTGCTACATCGGCGAGGAGACGCCCTTCTGGATAGGCAACGGCCACAAATGCCGAAATATATGCTTCGGCCTGCGACAAGAAAATCTGCCATACAAGTGACCACATCCTTCCTTGCTTGCCCAACAAGATCTTTTCATTCATCCATCAATCAGTCTTCCCTCCACCGCTCAAGCAAGATACGAGAGCTTGACGTCGCCTTCGCCGAAGAACTTGGCCAGCTCGGCGTGCATGTTCGCCAGCACGATGTCAAAGGGGGTGTAGAGGTAGATGCCCCGGAGGTCCACGCAGCGCCCGACAAAGTAGATGGCGACTTTGCCGTTGTCCTGAGCCTGAGCCTGAGCCTGCCCCTCAAGAGTCGATTTCTGCGCTTTCTCGTTCACGGGGCCGCCGAAGAAGAGGCCGACGGGCACATTCGCCGGGCTGCGCAGCAGCGCGCCCGAGTCGCCAAAGTCGGCAAATGTGTCGAATCCCTTGGCGCAGACGACCACCTTCTCGACGGTGTTCAGCTCGAGGCGATCGATCAGTGAGCCGGCCTGGTCGAAGCGCTCGTATCGTCGAACAATACACTCAGTGCCGGCCAATCGGCCGACCGTGACGCCGGTGGTACGGCCGACCTTGTAGACGTACTCGTTGCCATCGTAGTCCTTGTACTTATACTCCTCCTCCGCATGAAGTAGTACCTTACGGACATTTGCAGTTGGGGCCTAACTTGGACGATCTTGTCAGTTGCGTTCGGCCACGTAGGCAGTAAGTGCACAGAGAACAGATTGGGGAAGAAGAGAATGGGAGTGGGGATGGTCTCACTCACATTGGTGACGAATGCATCGCTAGGAAGACGCGAATCATCGACCTTGACCAAACCCCAGTCCAAGTAAGAGAGGGGACCGTCTTCGAAGGGGGTTACTGTGCGCAGGCCTGAAGTGCACATAACGGAGCCGAAGTGTGTCTGGAAGGTCTGTGCCGTGGCCAGTCGCTCATTTGCTTGCACGATAGCTAGGTTGATCGCAGCACGATCAGTCGGGATGGATTTTGGACCGAACACAGAACCAGTTGTAGGTCGGGCCATGCAGGCTTCTTGGAAAAGTTTTTCCTTGACAAGGTTCACGATCAATTGTTGTGAATCTGCGGGAGAGGGCTGGTCGACCAGAGGGTGCTTGGGCCAAGAGACCCTGATAGCCTCACCGCGATCTATTTCTATGTCAGCGTTCCCCTGGCAAACGTGATGACACACTGTGTGAAGGCTACCGAGGTGGATACGTACTGGGACAGAGGACATGATGACAGGTGACGCCAAGTGTATGGGCCTGAATAAGGGAGCCATCATGATCATTTCTGCCTTGCTACTGGCAACGACCGTCATTGCCGAAGGTGCATCGATCGTCGTCGTCATCGAACTCATCGAAGCCGACACTATTGTAATCAGCAACACTGTCACCGCGTGGAGCGACGATCTCATAGGCGTTGTCCCGTCATGACCTAGTCGTCAAAACTCTAGATTGACATCAACGCTGGCACCACTACGGCCACGGCATCAGTGCCGCTCACCAAAGCCGAGATCCTCGTCGTGGCAGCAGAGACAGTGGGCCTTATCACGGCTGTCCAACAGATCCTGGACACTATCGTCAGGGCGAAGCCCAAATTTCGATGCGATACAGTTCAGCTCGATCACTTAGTCCCTCTCGAGGAACCAAAGGACCGCGTCGCCCCAATTTGGGATAGCGGTTATTACTAAGGTTCCCGCATCTCTGTAGGAATCTACCAGCGCCTTACTTGCCCAGATTGATCAAGCATTTACAAATGCCATTGCTGCATATAATTAATCGCTCTAGGAGGGAGACGCCCAAAGCAAGGGTAGTCGAGGCTGTGAAAGTCTTCTTCCAATACGTCACCCTCCTTCGAGAGAGCTCTCCGCAGAAGTGGATCTTCGACGAGCAAAAAGGTATAGCAGAGCTTCAAGATATTATTACACCGCAGCGCTAGTTTTTGATACTCTTTCCACTTTTGCTTACACATTAAGGGTCCCATAGCCAGTTCCATTTCCCCTTAATGTATCGACTTCCTCCATTTCTTCATAATTCGCAACGTCACTATATGCTCCTGTTAATACCGGGTATGGCGTCTCCTTGTAAATCTTCTGCACCCTCCGCGCGCTGGTCAAAAACCGCTCCCGAATACCGGCATAATCCTTTACGGTCAACTTCCAATCCCTTTTCACAAACTTTCCCCCTACAAGCACGTGCTCTATATCCCCGACGTTCGCGTGCAGTATCACAGCCGCCACAGGATCAACCCATCCTAGAAGGCCAGGGCTATCAGTGCTGAAGACCACAAGGTCCGCTTTCGCGCCTTCAGCAATAATACCGAGATCGTCGCGATGTAGAGCGAGGCCGCCGTGCCTAGTCGCCATCAAGAACGCCTGGTTGGCAGACACTGGGTTGTTCACCGGAACGTTCCACTTGTCCAGGACCTGCTCGTAAAGAACTTGTCGTACACTCTGTAGCCAGAACCTAGCGGAAGTGATCATATCTCCAGAGAAGGTGCTGTGCGTATCGATGCCAAGGGCACCTTGGTCTGCGATGTGGTATGCAGTTACGGGACCGACGCCATAAGCTGCTTCCGACTCAGCAGTCGTGGAAATGTACTGGTTCGTGCTACGTAGGAGAGACGCTTCTCCAGTAGTGAGCCCATTCGCGTGCGAGAAGATCACTGGCGTGCTGATGTTAAGAAAATTGTAGGAGTGCAAGACCTCGGGACCGTTGATATTGCCATAGCTTCCGCTGCCATAGTGAGTGGTGACGACAGAGACATTGGCTTGCCTTGGTATCATCAGTATCGTTTGGTAAGATTAGCTATGGAAGATCACTTACCTGGCAGCATCAATCAGGCTATTCACTCGGTCCACAGGGGAAGTACTCCATCCATCAAAAGCAATACCCAGGGAGACAGTGGTATTCCTGTATTTTCCTTCCTCGGCCACGCTTAGTAATTTTGCAAGTTGATCCTCAAAGGTCCAACCGTTATTGAGCTCATGTACGGTGAATGCGTGAAACACTCTTGCGCCGCCATCAATGGAGCCATCGAGACCGGCTTGAGCCGTTTCATTAGACCAGGAGCCGTGAGCATGGTCCAGAATCGTGGTGACACCAGCATTCAATGCCTCTAGCTGACCAGCTAACTGGCCAATGTACACATCTTCGGCCGTGAACTTATCTGCAGCAGCGTACTCTCCGTAGCGGACAAAATACTCGGCGAGACTCGTGTTCGATGCAATTGTTTTGAAAGCGGTCTCCCATCCATGCCGATGCGTGTCAACAAAACCGGGACTCACAATCTTGCCAGTGACATCGATTTCCTCCGTCCCTTCGGGAATGGCGAGAGCGTCCGATTGGACATCGAAGAGGGAAACAATCCTATCATCAACTATCAGCACAGAGGTGTTGTGCAGGACTTGGAGAGCCTCTGTATCCTGGTCGAAAGCAATAACAGTTCCCCCGGAAAGCAAGATTGACGAGGCTCTCGAGATTCCTAGGATTCCACAGAAGCACAAAGCCATCAGGCATCTTAATGCAGGTGAATGCACGAGCAGCGGCATGGCGAGTGATGACCGATCGACTTGTTTCTATTATCGAGCAGAGAGGTGTGGAGAGATCAAGTCACAACCTCCGTAGAACGAACAGCTTTTAAGCCCAGTTGCACGGCAGCACAATGCAATGCAATGCCTCAGCAGCAGTAGTTATCCCTTGGCATATTACAAACTCCTCGTTCCGCTTAATAATTCGAACATGGCGATCGGACATACGATATTGATGGCCTGGCCCGGCTCTGAGACCTCTAGTAGACTGCGGAGAAATCCATGTACGCCCGCATCCGGCGGACACAAATACGCCCTCCCTTGCTATGTGCGGCTTATTCTGTTCACCTGCTAGTCCGGCACTTGTTTCCCCAGTCTTGTGCTTGGCGTTGAAAAGTCATTGTGGCCGAAGGGTTAACAGTAGGTAATTTCGTTTCTTGATTCGATTGCGATCCACCGTGTCTTGCAACCCCTCGTACATGGACCGCCAAGAAGACCCCACTACGGCTCGCCGCTCGTTTGCTCAGGCCGAGCGACGAGTTTTCCTTGATTCTTCCTATGACTGCCGACCGGGCGTTTGGTGCTTTCTAGGTTGGTGCCATCGAAGGGAGGGGTAAGGTAAGGCAGCTACGTTATCCGAGAGCGAGAGTCGGTGTGGGTTCGCAGGATAACTAGTGGTTTACGAGACGGTATCCCCAGGTTCAGGCCGGGGTGCCTGAGAGCCGGCTGGCATTTTACTCTTGGCCAGATTTTATGACATATCGCTACAGCGCTCGCGTTTTCTCTAGGGTCCGGCTCGCGCTCTCGGACCCTTCGCGCCCAACACGGGAGTGTAATCGTTCGGAAATTTGTTGCTTTAATAGACCTCACGCCAAGATCAATTCAGATCAGAATTTTCAACCATCCTAGAACCATCCTAGCTGTCATCCACCAATATGCTCATCCTGATTGCGGGTATCACGGGCATGTGCGGCCAGCCGATCGCCAGAGCCGCTCTTGCTCAAGGCCATATGGTCCGTGGTTTGGGCAGAAGCCCGGATAAGCTGAGTAAGGACATCGCCTCCCAGCTGGAAAGCTTTGTGCAGACCAACGACGTGTTTGATACGGCTGCTTTGGACAAGGCAACCAGAGGTGCCGATGCTGTTGTATGCGCTCTGAGCCCTGCGCCTGAGTTGGTGGTGGGCGGACAGCTTGCTTTACTACTGGCAGCAGAGCGGGCTGGTGTCAAGGCAGGTAGCCCCGGATAGGGCTCTATGTAGCTGGGAGCGGGAGAACCTCATACTGACCTCAAGACTATCAACCGGACAGATCTTCCATGCTGCGTCCTGGAACTACGACTGGACCAAACTGCCGCTCGGCTATCACGAAAACTATGACGCCTATATTGCCTTTAAACGCACTGCTGAGCTCACCAGTACTATAAAGCCCTTATACGGGTTCACTGGTGGCATCATGGAATGGTCATGGTACTACAGCGACCGCGGAAATCCAATAGACGCCAAATCCCGGACCGTGTCGTACTTCGGCGACGGCACGGACCAGTCGATCTGGATCACGGTGGATGATCTAGCAGCCTATACACTGAAAGCAATCACAGCGCCTGGGGCATCCAACGGGGGGTTGTATTATGTCGAGAGTTTCCGATGCTCCTGGCTGGAGCTGGGTAAGACGTATGGCGAGACGCATGGCATCCAGATAGAGGGTCATAGTCTTGGTGATGGGAACGTGCTTGAGGGCATACTTCAGAAGGCACGGCAGGAGTATAGTCCACGGGATTACCCGAAGTATATCGGTCTTGTATACGCTAAATTGATTAACGATCCAGCCATGCTGTATGAAGCGACAGATAGCAAAAGGTGGGCAGATGTCAAGCAGACGAGCATGAAGGAATGGTTTGAACAGCATCCAGATGTCTGAAGCCTCTCGTACAACAGGGAGGCTGAATTATGAAACTATTACTGGGAGTGTTACTAGTTGATAGTATTTAGTAACCACATAGTAAATGTTCATCTTCTTTAACCTGTTCGTCTTGCTAGTAATAGGCGGCGGCTCATGCCGGGAAGATTTAGGTGTGTGTACTGACCCTGGGACTATCAGTAGTCGGCTCAGTTGAAAGCTGAGTTGATAATTCGTGGACGAGCCGAACCTGCCGTACATGTAACCGGTAATTGCGCCTTCAATGGCGTAGGACTCTCTAGAATACCCCGCCATTGATGTTTGGCACATGCGTTCTCGTGATCAAGAATTCACGGTTCATAGGGTGTAGAGCCGGGGCCTGCATGAACCGGACCTTATGAGACACCATGGAAGTGAAATTCATTCCAAGGATTCGGAGTCCGGGAGGATTGGGAATCCGAGACCCGGTTCGCGAACCGCGCTGTAGTGTTGTAGAACGGCGGTCCTCCTCCAAGATGGTATAAGATAGAAGATGGATGTAGAGTAGTTCTCTCAATCACTAGACAAATGATTTAGTTACACCTAGACATCTCCGTCTCTTCCTACCTGGTCTTTGTTTAGCCTGAAGTTAGCCTACAGATATCATGTCTACCACCCCTAAGACCTATCTCATTACAGGTGCCAACCGCGGAATCGGCAAGGGCTTCGTTGAGATGCTCCTCCAGCGGCCCGGCACTACTGTCATCGCCACTGCCAGGGACCCGGCTAAGGCGGTAACCTCGCTAAACGAGCTACCCAAGGCTACAGGCTCTCGGCTTCTCATCGTCAAGCTCGATGCCCAGGTAGACGCCGATGCTGCGAGAGCTGTTTCTCAGCTACGACAAGAGCATAGTGTCACCTCAATTGACGTCGTTATCGCCAATGCGGGCATTTCGCACTCAGGCGCTCCGGTTATTCAAAATTCGGCCGAAGCGCTACGAGATCACTTCAATATCAACACAATCGGCCCTGTCACCCTCTTCCAGGCCGTCTACCCTCTGCTAAAGGCCAGTTTGACTAGAAATCCTATCTTCTTGCCCATATCGACCATGATTGGGAGTATCGGGTGTCAAGAGAGCTTGTCTGCGCTCCCGGCAACTTTCTGCCCCTATGGCGCTAGTAAGGCGGCGCTGAACTGGATCGTGAGCCGCATTCACTATGAGGAGCCTTGGCTGACTACCTGGGCCGCGCATCCTGGTCTCGTTTTGACGGATATGGTTGCGATACTCACCTCTCAGGGTGTTGACCCTACCAGTATTGCCGCCATTAGTGTCGAGACGAGCGTTTCCGGCATTCTGAGACAGGTGGATGAGGGTACTCGTGAGAAGCACGGAGGGAAGTTGAGGAGTCACGATGGTACTACGCTGCCATGGTAGGCCGCAAGAATAACGTGAGAAACGAAATTACAATGAGACCAAGGATTGCAGCCCAGAGTATCAAGAAGATTGAAACTGTAAGACGATTATGTTTTATAAATTGAAAACACATCGTAAAGCCCAAACCACTGGGGCGCAGTATACGGAGACCGGCCGCTGTATGCACGGATACCGGTCGAAGGCCTTACGGCGCCTCCGTACAGCCTGCTCTGCGACCCTTTTACAAAGTTCAAGAAATATAAATCACTAAGTATAAGTAGGCTAGAAGCTTATTACAGCGTAGTGAGGCTTACTAAGTGGACTTCTTTGTAAATTACTACCGTACCCCGTCATATACAAACATCAGCCCAATAATACGTCCATATATCCAATCCTAGAAAATCATCTTTGTACATCTTGGCTATCTCATCGTCCGCCGCACCCGCACACACCAACAGAGGCATGAAATGGTCGGCAGCGCCAGGTGGGTGTGCTTCATAGCTATGAATAAAATCTCTCCACCCCTCCAGGGCCTTTGCCCTGTCTTTCCACTTCTCCTTTGTCACCGCGGCGGTCAACGCCACATTCCATTCGCTGACGCTCTTAGTAAACATCGTAGGTGCCTTAGTATTGGTCATCATTAACGGAATCACTCTGCGATTGTTGTGGATAGAGGCGAATCCAGAGCCCACAATGGCGATATTGGAATCTCGGAGTTTCGAAAGGGCGCGCCCAATGCGAAGATGTTCAGCAGGGTCTTCATTTGCAAGGATTGATAGCTGGATGATGGGAATGTCTGCAGCCGGATTGATGAGCATGAAGGGGATGAAGACGCCATGATCCCAACCTGTCGTATCTCACTCATTAGATTGACCAATATGTATCATCGCTTTTGACTGCGGGCCAGACAGTCGCGAAGTGGTATCGGGACGTGGTATTGCCCACTCACCTCGTCTGCTATTGAGAATAGGGTTTAAACCTTCCTCCGTAAGAACTTTCTTGATGTCCTCGGCGATAGCGGGCGATCCCGGAGCCTCATACTTCAGGTTGTATGCTTCCCTTGGGACACCGCCATAGTCATAGTAGAGATCATGGTGACTTGCGGATGAGATGGTAGGCTGATATTCGGACCAGTGGGCCGTCACGCAGACGATACCTCGTGGTGCCTCAGGGGTACCAAGCTTGAGGATCTTGGGAACTCTGGTTTTTAGGGAATGAATGATGTCTTTATGACCCGGCCCACCGATTACAGGAAGCGGTCCTGAGCAAAGAGCATTAGCTTAACTGACTTGTTTGTCTTGTTCACAAGGAGCGTTGAAATCCTACCCCCACCGTGAGTTATACAGATCACTGACGCGCGTGTCATGGTGAGATTTTATAAAAGAAATATGAAGATGGCTTATGGAGTCACGCAGGTGGTTCTTTTAATTTCACTTGTCGTAGATGAGTTGGTTCCGCGTTACATGTTATGGGCAATGTTTTATAAACTCACTGTAAAGTATTGGTCCGGACTTTAGAGTGCTGTCATAAGCGGTCAAGTCGCTTTCCACTATCACCCGAACAAAACCGGCACACGCGCGCTACTACGCAGTAAGTCATCCCGCGCGTTAAGTCACCCCGCGCGGTGTGGCAGGCATGTGTCTTACCATGCCTGGGCCGATCCACCTTTCAGGCATTAAATATCTGTTACGTAACAAGGGTCTCCTAGCTAGACATGACTGTCACGGCCAGAAACCCGACCACCCCTCACGCAGAACGAACGGAATAAAGGATTAATAGAAACGCAGGGACCAGGTCACGTGTAGATAAGATAAAGAATCATGCCTCCGTCGGGAGCAATGAGCATGGATGAGCAGTCGCTCATTACTGCTCAGTGAGCCTCACTGGGCAGGCATTTCAGAGTTCTATATAAGTCTACGCTCACAGCCATGAGCCTAGAAATGAAGAGCCTTCAATAATAGTTTTATTGTCTACGCAAGTAGCCATCGTTAAGTCTCTGCTCACCAGCAATTATTGGCTATCGTTTCGTTCAGCCCAAAACTTCAGAGATGGGTATCCTCCATTCATCACATAGATCCCTGATCCTATACTCGGTGGAAACACCCAACTCCTGGTTGATATCTCGCAACATACCCGCCAAGCGTCGGCGCTCCGACATCTCCGTTAGACAACGCCCAGATACATAAAGGGGCTGTACCATGTGCATTCTGCTGGCATCGTCCACCATTCCTAGTGCGATCGAAATGATTTGCTTTGCGTGATAGCGTAACTCATCCTGCAGAACTCGGTAGGCGCGCAGCAGGTCAAAGTGTCTTCCCTGGTCTAAAGAGCCACCTATAAGATCCAATGACTGAGGTTGCATTATCAGAAGAAGGCTCTTGGCCATGTGGTAGTATGCCATAGCCACTGCGCAAGGGCTGTTTGAGAACCAAGCTTCCTCGGCGAATATGCTTAGACGATGATCGCTGACACCATCTTCGTGAGGTAGCACTGTATCTGCCTGGAATGATGGAGGAAGTGCGCCATGCCAGCGATCAAATCGATACCGTAACTGAGTCCAATATGTATCTCGAGGTTCGTGTTCGTCTAGTGATGCTGATATGGGCCCTTGGAGACTTGTCTGGCTGGCAGAAGCATTGATCAAACTAAACATCAGCTGGATCAAGTTGTAGAAGGCGGCGCCTTCTCGACCATGTCGAGAGTTGACCACCGTGCGTGATATCGGGTCATCATGAGTGGGATCAGAGTAGTCCAAGGGTAGCAATCCCATGCTGCGCCAAAGATCGAGATTGTCGGAGTCAATCTGTGTCGGGGTTCTATTAATGACTAGACCTCAGTTAGCGTGGACTATTGGTGCACGTAATCCAATACTGTTGATAGTGTTCTTACATGATAACTCGAGATCGTTGAGAGCTACAGACCAGAACAGCGGCTGTATTGTAGATGTCTCGGATAGCATATCCATACCCGGACTTGATTGCGCACACATGGTGGCATCGTTGAGTTTTAACAACTTGACCACCCCGCCGACATGGCCGGACCAAGCCCTCATCGTAGCGCTCAAACGCTCGTACTGTATCAAGATGCACGCCGCCACCAGAGGGCTTGTGTCAGTCCGTGGTGCCACAGAGCTATGGCTGGCTGGAGAGCCGCCGATGAGCATGTAGACTTCGGACAGCGAGGCGGGGAAATCAGTGCTGCAATGACGCGATATCTCGTTGGCAAGCAAATGTATTGCCCGTTCGTAATACTTTGCACCGTACCAAAGGTAGTCGCGTTGGCTCCTCTCGATGGTCTGCTTGACGAGCATGTTGCCTTTAGTCGGGGTGACACGCGAGGTAGGTTCTGCCATTTGGCCCATCCGCTTTGCTGCTAGAGCGCATGCGGAGTATCTGATAAGTGCATTCGTCTTTGCTGTGAATAAGACATGGTGACTAAAGTATTGGCCTTGGCCAAAGATATCCATACTGCACACTATAGTATCAGCACGTTTTCCAAAGATAACGAGTATTACTAGTCGTACCCCTTTGCGAGACCCTCTGCGTATTGGCGGAGAAAGAAGGCGACTTCGTCCCTCTCCGTGATAGATTCTTGGAGAGATAGACCTCGGTGGTCCCCGATGGCATTGACGGCGAGCAGGTCGGGCGTACCATCTGGTTACACTCAGTCATTTCCTTGGGCTTGAAAGTAGGTTGGACATGGGGCAAGTTGACAAACCGTGTGGAGAGTAAGCGCCTGATGGCGTTGTTACATGGGTGTCACGAGGGCTGGAAGCCAGAATAGAGAAAGAGCCTATGGCCGGTTGTGGAGCGTGAGTCAAGCTGGCATGTGCAGGCGATCCCGCAAGGACCACGGCGGCAGGGGCAGGCTGTCGTAATGATCCATCCCGACGACGAGGGAGACGTTCCGTGGTCGGGGTGGCTGTAGTAGCTTCCGGACTGAGACGGCTGGGTTGAATGGGAATGGGGCTGGTGGTGGTGAGCTGGGGTGAACGGCCAGCTTCGGGAGGCTGAGGCTGGTGCGGATCGATGAAGACGACTGATACACATACACATTAGCACAGTGCCAAAGACGCAAGGCCCCGGGGGGTGAGGATGAGATCGGCCTCCGGCAACAGACCATGCTCCGGGACTTGTGCCCAGACAATGCCCGAGTCCGAGTCCTCTTCGGCTCTGGGTCGACTGGGGCGGCGCGGGTTATGGAACGAACGGGCATCGGCTCGGAATAAGCTGCTGCCAATCGAGCAGGATCTCCCGGTCTGGCGGCACTGCCCACAGTCTGGCTGTGCCTCGTCACATTTGACCTTTCTCTTGCGGCACTCAAAGCTAATCGACCAGGCCAGGCCAAGCTACTTAGCACCCATTGCTGTTGCTGGAAATATGGCACCAAATGGCCATCGTAGTGGCAGCGGGGTTGGGTTGAAATGGGAGACAACTCACCATCCCTTGCGAGACCTTGCGCGCCGCATGTTGCATCGTCACCTGCTCATGGCAGTACTGTACAGGGAGAAAGGTGGAGGAAAGGGATTCTGGGGAAAAGAGGAACCACATCACATCACCATGTGGAGAATGTGGAGAATGCCCACAACGATTTGATCAGATGACTCTAACAGGCAGACTAACGTCAGTCAGTGTCTGGATCAGGCAATATTGGCGCCTCGCCTTAAGGTCGCCCTAGCAAAGTTCCAAGTGGATCTACCCACATGCGATTTGTCTCCCGTGTCTAACGTTAGTCTGGACATTCGCATGAATTTCCTCTTTCGGCTTCAATCTGCGAGAATAGCTGTCCGACTAGGTAAGCAGGTATCGCAACGCAACTTCAAAAGCGCGAGTCCAAGGACCAGAAAGCGAACAGAAAGCGAACAGCTTGTATATCCCAGTCAAAGTTGATTGGCACGTTCTATTCTTCTTCAGACACCCGACCTCACCACTGACTGAAGATACCATACTAGCCACCATTGGCCATAATGCCTCTCTACCAGCCCCCAGACGTCAACGCCCATGTCCTCTCCCAGTTCTCCCTGAAGGGCAAGATAGTGGCTGTGACGGGCGGTGCCCGGGGAATTGGTCTCGAAGTGGTCCGCGGCATGGCAGAAGCTGGTGCCGATGTGGCTGTCATCTACTCCACGAGCACAGACGCACCCGAGATCGCCGCCAAGATTGCCCGCGAGACAGGCGTGCGCGTTGAGGCCTTCCAATCCAATGTGGCCTCTCGGGATTCCATAAGCAAGACCCTGAGCCAGATTGCCGCCGGCTTCGGTCGCGGTCGATTAGACGTCGTGGTCGCCAACGCCGGCGTCTGCGCCAACATCCCTAACTTGGAGTATACAGAGGAGACGTGGGCCAAGAACAACAGCGTCAACTATGACGGTGTGATGTGGACTGCACAAGCCGCCGGAAACATCTTCAAGAAGCAGGGGAAGGGCAATCTGATCATCACTGCGTCCGTCAGCGCCATTCTCGTCAACATTCCCCAGACTCAGGCAGCCTACAATGCCTCCAAGGCAGCTGTCGTCCACCTCGCAAAGAGTCTGGCCGTGGAATGGACAGAATTTGCCAGAGTTAACTGCATTTCGCCCGGCTTTATCATGACAGAAAGTGAGGAGCGCTCCTGACAGAAAATCAAACCGACTGGAACACCAAACCTAACTTGCTCTTTCTAGTGCTTACCCGGCAGCCAAAAGAGATCATGGACCAGTGGATGGGCATGATTCCAGGCAGACGAATCTGTCACCCGGCTGAATTGAAGAGCGTATAGAACACTCAATTCCGTGCCTCCGATGTGTCTACATTAGCTAACCTTTCAATTGCAGGCATATGTATTCCTCGCGAGCGACGCTTGCTGTTATATGACAGGAAGCAATATTGTCATTGACGGTGGTTATACCCTGCCATAGAGATAGATGTCGGAACGACAGAGGCAAGGCTTTCGTCGCAGACTTTTTGCGGCGTGATTAGCTGGTAGGACAATAAATGAAAAGGGGTTGCAGACCAACCATTTTTATATACCCTCGCACATACAAAAAAAACAAAGAAGCCTCCGGGACTGCAAAACATGTGTCTATTTGCGCTGTGTTTTAACACCTGCAGATATGGAGAATAATATTTTCCCACCTCAAAAACTACAAATTACTAGTAAAGAATTATTATCACATTTGCCACAATTCAGTAGTCTGATATTTCGGTCAGAATTTGCTTCAAATTTGATGTTGATATAAGGGCTTACAGTTGACTCCTTTGTTAACACTGCGCAAATAGATATTCTACACCGTGCCAATAGACACTCTTCTGGACACTCTGTTCTTGCCATTCTATGCTGATTCATATACTAAGTCAAAAAGAGAAAGCTGAGCCAGAAGAATCGGGTGATCGAGATAGGATCGCCTTATCAGTGACAGGGCATAATCCCCACCCCCAAACTCAATATCTAAAGGGTTCCAATGCGGGTTTCACGGCTTTCAATGCAGCTTTTGGCATGGACTAAGATATTCAAAAGGAAAGGGGAACCAGAAGGTTGTTACGTATCGTTTCTAGCAATGTTGAACTAAACGCAAGCCCTAGAGCTCTGTTGCACCCCGCAACAGTGAAGAATATCTGACAAAAGTAAAGGCTTAGAGAAATATCGAGAACGTTCGATATACAATATTGCTTTCATGAACCTAATGTAATACTGTAATACTTCCACTGTTGAAATCCCTGAAGAACAGCAACATACGTTGAAAATGCAATAGTTCACCACTATTCATGACATGATGTGAGAGTACAAGCATCACTCAAAGCCAAGGCCGCCAGAGTCCTAAGCAGCGGGCTAGATCCAAGGCGTCGTGTCGGTAAGCCCACCTCACTCAACAACGCGACCGCTCTGAACATCATGTCTCAAGGTTTGAAAACCTACCCCCTCCCTCAAACCTTGGGGGTAGTCCCAGCAACCTCCATCACCGATCCTGCCATGCTGCCGCGCTGCCTTCGTCGAATCTCTGCGTCTTCGTGCTCAACATATTTGAGTGGCCTGCGGGTGCATATGGCATCCTGGTCCTTGACGACAATCAGCGGCGGGTTCGTGCGGTAGTACGCGTCCATGTCCTCAAGGTGCCGATTTGCTGTTAGATTGAGTCGTCAGTAAGTTATTCGAAGGGTTCGAAACGTGGCTGTCGAGAACTACTTACAAGTTTCGGGGTACAGCAGGTAGATCACGGGCAGGAACGCTGCATTGAAAATCGTGAAAATGATCCAGAACTTCCAGCGCAGATTCTGAATTCCAATGGGAGTAATCTCAACAATGACGAAGTTGGTGATCCTAGATTTTTCCGCGTCAGTTAGTTTGGTTCTCATGATGACGGGAGCGCGAGGGCTCTGCCCACCAATTTGTGCCCGTGGCAACCGCTGCACCCTTCGTACGCATGGCCAGACTGTTTACTTCGGTAGGATACAGCCAGGGCACTCCAAGCATGCCTACGCCGAAGGAAATGTAGTACAGGAAGAAGAAGGGGATCGAGGCTGTAGCAAACCCGCCCCCATTGACGTTCTCCGAGAATCGGAGCAGGATGGTGATGATGAGGAAAGAGAAGAACTGGCCTGCCGTAGATAAGAGCATCAGCCCACGACGGCCCCATCGCTCAACCAGTGGGACGGCGGCAGAGGAAAATATAAGATAGGTTACTGAGTTGACGGCAGAGAGTAGCCGAGCCATGTTCTCCGATAACCCGACTGAGTGAATTAGTACAGTGGGGAGATAATAAGACATGATGTTGATTCCGCCGAACTGTTGCATCAGCTGAGTGTTTGCCCCGAGTAGAAGACGACGTAGGGTTTTGGTGTCGCTAGGGTCCTTGTTTCGGCGTAGGATCAGATCCATCCACTTGACGGAATGTTCACGCTCATATTTAACGCTGTCGTCGATTTCGGTGAATTGGGTAGCTACAATCGGGTCATCAATTGTCTTGGCCTCTAGACAAGCTAAGATCTGGACGGCTTCCTCGGTCCGGTCATGCGCTATCAGCCAGCTACAAGTAAATCATGTCAGCCAGCCGGGAATGATGAAAGAAATTACGGGCCATCAGCATACCGAGGGGACTCCGGAAGCCACGGCACCGTGGCAAACAGGACAAAGATGAAAACAAATTGGAATGCGAGAGGGAAGCGCCATGCCACGGAGCCTGACACGAACGACAGGCCATAATTGAGCCAATTTACGAGAGAGAAGCCGGCGATATTCATCATCATCTCAAGAATGACGAGCTTGCCGCGCCACTTCGCTTGTGAAGTCTCCGTCTGCCAGATTGGCGCCGTTGAAGTATTGATACCATTACCGATGCTGCCCCCCACCCCCTGTCAGTCTAAGGTTGGGAAAATATATGAGAACGCTAGATAGTTACCCTAGTACGACGCGACCAACAAACATCTGGGGCAGACTGAAAGACGCTGTCTTGATCAAAGTGCCCACCGACATGATGGCGGTTCCGACGAGAATTGACTTCTTCCTGCCAAGGCGCTCGCCAACGGTAAAAGCAACGATGGCTCCCACAAAGCAGCCAATGTCGTAGATGGCAGTAAGCGTTGCGAGAACGTTAGTCCTGCTGGGACCGACAAGGTCATGGAGCTCGAGAAAGTTCTGGGTTACGACAACGCCACCTAGCAGAAAGGTGTTAGTGTCCGACCTATAGGGATGATCAAGACGAGAGAGATAGATACAGACGTACTGAAAACTCCCTGGTCGTAACCGAAGAGCATCATGTCTGTAGAACACGCAATCTTTCACAAAGTGTTAGTTTCAACTACCCCAACCCGTTGGAGGCTTGGTGAAGAACGGTTGGACCTACAGTGATCCAGACAGTCAGCCATCCTCCTGTGAGCCCAAAGAAGGGCTTCTTTTCGGTTGACGCGGTCATGACCATCACTTATGCAGATGTCGCTACTAAAAGAATAGAAAGCGTAAGGAGGACACGGGTGAAGATGAAGATGCAGAGCGAAGGCACGCAAGTGTGAGCCTGTGGATTGATTGATTGATTGATTGATTGATTGATCCAGGAGAGAGGGTTTATCTCTGCTTTATGTACACCCTTCGTCTCAAGACAATACATACCACGGGTGGCTACCGGCCAGGTCCAATCGAGGAAGTTAGGCCCTCTTACCTGAGCGAGCCAGCAGCCAGCCAACCCCTCCCTCCTCGGTCGCACGTCTGTGGGTCCTATGTAAACGAATTGCGGGGACCCCAGGAATTGACCCAGACCATGTTATCACTTTACTGTACCGTACCAGAAGAGTAGTGCGAGATCCCAGCCAGCTGGGGGTTTTAAGTGTCCAGGCACTAGTTTAGTCTAAAGTAATGAAATGACGCAGCGCAGCGCGCATACCCCACATCCCTGAGGGATGTTCCCGAAGAGGAAATATAAGACCTGCAAGCGAGAGTCTCACCAACTTTGGTAATTCAAGCGTTGGAGTGTAGATCCAAAATGCTGCACTCGTTATTTTCACCGGGTCAGTGACAATGATAATTTTCGAGAGCAGGACTGATTCACAAGTTGGCCCAGCTGGGTGCCTTGTTTGTTTTGGCAGATGAATCGTTTCATTTCATTACCGGGGGACCAAACTGGGATTTCACTTGTCAACCACTCTCGATTGGACTACAACCACACCTGAGGTTACGATCAGCCTGGTTAATAGCTAAACAAACACGACAGCTTATAACTGCATATCTATGCAATGAATCTCCTTTCACAGACAATGGATAGGATAGTGTCGGCCACGAGCTTCCTCTTTGTTGTTATTAACTGTCCAATTACCGGTATGCTATCAATGAAGCGATCTAGCGGTCGAACTACTGTACACCTGCAATCATGACCTTGAAAACGTCCTGCCTGCCTTGCTTCACCAGCTCGAATGCCTCATCTGCCTGCTCGAATTTGAACCTGTTGGTAATCAGCTTCTTCACGTCGATCTTCCCTTGTGATATTAGGTCGATAGCCGCAGGGTAGCAGCCCGTTAGGTAGCGGATAGATCCCTTGATGACCAACCCTTGCGTGCAGACGGCCGTGATGGGGAACAGGACGTTCTCCTTGCCCATACCGGCCTGCACAAAAGTTCCGCCACGCTTTGCGACGTAGATGCCCAACTGAATACAGGGCTCGGCACCGGAGCACTCGAGGACCACGTCGGCGCCCTCGCCGAGCCCGAACCGCTGCTTAATCATCTCGGCCACTCTCTCGGCGTGCACCATGGGGTCAGTCCCCTGTTCAGCAGAGGGCGGAATGAAGGTGCCGTCCACTCCGTAGGACTTGGCGATGTCCAGCCTCGACGGCACGACATCGACACCAATTACCTTCTTAGCACCCCACTGCTTGGCAACGGCCTGGCAGAGAATACCGATGGGACCACATCCCATGACAACCACCGTCTGGTGAGCTCGGAGGTCAGCCGTCTTTCCAATGGCCACCGCGACGGACACGGGCTCGACCATGGCGGCCTCCTCCAGGTCCATATTGTCGGGGACCTTGAAGCAGAAGTCGGATGCGTTGATGTAGTACTTGGCCAGAGTTCCATCCCATGGAGGGGTTGCTGCGAAGATCATGTCGCCGCACAAGTGGTACGATCCCTTCTTGCAGAACTCGCATCGACGGCATGGGACACCGGGCTCCATGGCAACGCGGTCGCCGGGCTTAAGATGGGTTACCTGGGAACCGACCTCGGCAACCACGCCTGAGGACTCATGACCCAGGACCATGGGCGAGGTGAGAACGTAAGGGCCGATACGGCCTTTCTGCCAGCTGTGCTCCATATTAATGTGTGCAACAGTGTAGGAGAGTAACTGTTAGAACGTACTAGTGAACCTAGGAGCAAGGTCAGTTTTGGCTTATTGTCTTTGAAGCACAGTAGGCCTGATGCTAGCTATTGAGGACAGTGAGGTGGTAACTTACATCGCTTCCACAGATACCAGTCTGGGCAACGTGAACGAGCACATCATGGTCGTTTTTCAGCTCCGGCTTTGGCCTGTCCTCAAATACGACATCTTTGACGGCCCGGAGCACAAATGAGGGGTTCTACACCATGCCATGTTAATAATTATGCATATATACTACCAGCTGCAAGTTTTAGGGGGAAACATACGGCCATGGTGATGATGATGCTTTGGTAACACTGCCGAGTTGTCTGGTGCTTTGCATTGATCGATAGATATGTCCTGGAATTGTGACGGAACGATGTGACAGACAATTCCATTTAAATTAGATCCCCATCACGGCACCTCTTCACATCATCGAGTCTAGAAGGGAGCAATGTGATGTCAAGTCAGTAGCAGCTCTCATTGTTGCAGGTGACACGAACGCATTGAAATGTCCCAATGTGGTAATTTTGCCGGTGGTCACAGTCAAATCGTGGTGGGCCAGAGCCAAGGAACGCTGCGCACCACTGCCTTACCTTGGTCGGCGCCATCTCCATCGGGCCATCTTAGCACATGTGAGTGATTCTAGGTCCGTACGGAGCACATAGTACCCGTACTGCTTCCGAATCACATAGAATGGTCGAAAGCGAGTTGAGGCAGTGCAGTCAGATTGATGATGGTACATATGAGTGGTAACGTACATGCCACTAACAATCTTTTTCTCCTCATTCCCCTCATGAGCCTTTTCCCTCTCCCCACACTTCCCCTCCGCCAAGCTTCTACTAGGCAATGATCGGCATCTTTACCCCACCGCCTCACCCCAATCCACATTAGTTGCAAACAATTGCAGTGTAGCCGAGGAGGATGTCTTGGATCACCAATGACAGTGTCTCATTCCTTGGAGATGCAATTCTACCTGTTCAGGTGATCCATACCTCGGAGAACAGAGAAGTGCTTTTCTAATGCTATCAGGCCAACAGGACAAACCACGAGTGGTTCACTCTTCTACCGCAGAGATCTATCCCATGTTTACCGAGCACAGTAACCTCCATCTACCAATATGTCGGCTCCCGTTGTGTAAGTGCTAGCGTCGCTCGCCAGGTAAACGTACACGCCCTTGAGCTCTTTGGGCTCCCCGTCTCGACCCAGCGGGATCATCGAGTGCCAAAGCTTCCTCGTCTCAGCGGGAATAAAATCCGACAGTCCAGTATCGATATAGCCAGGCGAGACAGAGTTGACACGGGCGAAACCCCTCCACTCGTTTGCCAACGATTTGGCAAAGTGCACGCAACCGGCCTTGGCCACATTGTAGCATGTTTGTTCTTGAGGGTAGTTGGCTATATGTCCAGACATGGAGGAGGTGATAATGAATGACCCGGAACCTCGCTCCTTGAAGTGAGGTCCAACAGCCTTGGCGCAGTAGAACGTGCCGTTGAGATCTGTCTGGATGACCTCCTCCCAGCTCTCGACCGATCCCTCGAGCACACCGGTGTTGGTGGCGCGGCCAGCGTTGGCGATGAAGGCGTCGATCTGGCCAAAGTCTTCGAGCACGTCTGCGACAAGTTTCTGTACTGCCGCCCAGCTGCGTATGTCGCACGCGTACGCCTTGGCAGTCACGCCGTATTCCTTAGAGAGGTCTTCGGCGTTCTTCTGGGCGCCCTCGGGTCGCGAGCAGTAGGTGATGGCGATGTTGGCACCCATCTCGGCGCAGCCCCTGGCAGCTTCCAGACCGATGCTCCTGGGTCCCGAAGCGCCGGTCACGACGACAGTCTTACCCTTGAGGCTGAACATGTCTGCTAGTTTCGTAGCTTTGGTCGCGGGAAGAGACATGATGACTCGCAGAACGAAGGAGATCTGTTGGTGATTAGGTAGGGCGGTATTTTGAGACTAGGCGCTATAGTGAGAGCATGGAAGGCATAAGACGCAAAAACTGAGAGAGCGGCCAGATACATATTGGCTTTTGCGCTCGTTGAAACCCGACTTCGGCATATTAGACCGTCGCATTTGACAGGACAATACCGAAGCACTGGCCAGAAACACATGCGAGTACTTGGCTCGTTAATTTCCATATTAGGAAATTTAGGCGTTCCCCCACATATGCGTGCACCGAAGCCGAGAAACTGCTCCGAGTTAGGCACTTCGCTATAATTTGTGCCGTCGCCGTCACGCCTCCCATCGTCGACATTTGACATCTTGACAGCATGCTTTCATTCATCATACACCAGAATTCCCCGTTAAGCTGCCTTGACACGTCAGGATTGTTGTATTCACTGTTAGACACGTGTTGCTTTCCGCCATGGCTTCAAACACGGCGGATTTGAACCCGACGGCCCCGAATGTGGGGCTACATGTCGACCCCGATCATAATCTCTGGCTTGCTGATGCGGCTCCAAGTCTGGAAGACATCAAGTCTGGCTCCAGCCTTCAGCCTGGGGAAGTTACAGTTGCCATCAAGACCACCGGCATCTGTGGGTAAGTGACGGGATCGCCCACAATGCTTCAACTCCCGCTCATTGTGCTGCCCAGATCAGACGTCCATTTCTGGAAACACGGCGGTATAGGCCCTTGGCAGGTGACGGCTCCTCACATCCTAGGACATGAGTCGGCCGGCGTCGTTATCGCCACCCACCCAACCGTCACCAGTCTCGCCGTCGGCGACCGTGTTGCCGTCGAGCCTCACATCATCTGCGGGGCCTGCGAGCCCTGCCTTACCGGCCGCTACAACGGCTGCAAGAACCTGTTGTTCCGGTCGAGTCCCCCTTCACACGGCCTGCTGCGCAGATATGTAAATCATCCCGCCATGTGGTGCCACAAGATTGGGACTCTGTCTTTTGACGAGGGTGCTCTGCTCGAGCCCCTGAGCGTCGCCCTTACCGGCGTCACCAGGTCAGGTGTCAAGATTGGGGACCCCGTCCTGATCTGCGGAGCTGGCCCCATTGGCCTTATCACCCTTGATGTTTGCCGTGCGGCGGGAGCGTATCCGATCGCCATCACGGATATCGATCCGTCGCGTTTAGAGTTTGCCAAAACGATCATGCCTGATATTCTAACTCATCACGTTACGAGAGGCGAAACGCCCGAGGGGTTCGCGGACAAGATCGCGATGCTGATGGGAGATGGTATCGAAGTGGCTGTTGCATTGGAGTGTACCGGTGTCGAGAGCTCAGTATGCAGCGCTATCCAGGCAGTAAAGTTCGGCGGCAAGGTATTTGTGATCGGAGTAGGAAAGGAGAAGATGGAGATCCCTTTTATGCGCTGTAGTGCGCAAGAAGTCGAGTTGCAATTTCAGCAACGCTATGTCAACATGTGGCCGAGGGCAATTCGGGTTCTATCTAGTGGCATGGTGAACCTGAAGCGCCTGGTAACGCACGAGTACACGCTAGAGAATGGTGTGGAGGCATTCAAGACGGCTTCAGATCCCAAGAGCGGGTCAATCAAAGTACTCATTCGGTCTTGAGTGGATTAAGCAGCTGGAACGAGTACGACACATACTATGAGCCTTACAGGCAAATCATAGTAAGAATGACATGTCAAAACTCAAGAATTGTTGCGTGTGTTTCCAAAGAACTCCAGTATCCACTCTGGCAACAAATTCTCGTTTAATCCTTCCATCTTGCAAATTCCTCTTGCAGTATACGAGAACTGGCATCGACTCCAATATCTGTAGCTTATATTGTATAAAATGGCAGCTGCGGCAGATTTGTGGTTTCCTTAACCTAGAAGTTTGAAATAAGGCTTTGCAGAGGACGCTAATAGGAAAGTAGGTATACTAACGGGCTATGGGTGGTATGTCGAATGAAACACTTCTATTAAAGTCTCAACTTGGATGGGCTGATGGGATGCTTTCTCAATAAATAGGCTACATAAAGAATTTCGCGAATCTCCATCAAGCAGAAACATTGAGGTATATGGATTTAGACTGGGATGCGGTTAATTCCCTTACCTATTTATACCAATCCGATTGGGAAGTATAGGACCCGAATTTGCCCTTGTATGTAAGGCGGAGTCTCGACTGACTTTTCTAGGACGAGGTGCTTGGGTAATCCCAGCGAGGGATCATATTATCGAGATGGGTCCTCGTCTGACGCCGTTTTGGCCATTCGCGTGCCTTAACTTGCCCTCTGCGCCACTGATGGCACAGTACGTCGCATGGACCTTTGTTGCAGCCCTGATTTATCACCACTACAAGGCATATATAAGAAGCGCATGGAACATCCCAGCAACATAAAACGGATTACATGTCTTACTGCTGCACTTCGCTGCTGCTTCCTGCAGCACTGTTGTCGGAGTCGAGCATCAGAGATCCAGACGACCTAGAGGTTGTTGTGCCTGAAGTGTGAATAAGCTGAGGAAGCTCTTTGAGATATTCGAAGTTCTACCTCTGCTCTTGGCAAGCCTCACATTGCCAAGGCCTGGGCTCTCCTCCGTCCATTTTCAAATATCTTTCGAACTCGTCCTAGAAGAGGTCATGTTCTGAGAGCTTTTTCTGGAGAAAGTCTCTAGCACGTCGTGAGTCGAAAAGTTCGTTCAATCTTTTGTTGTAGTCCTCTTCATGTCGTACTATGCTGTCCATTGATTCGAATTCAGTAGAATAAAGCCTGAAGTCGAGGAAATTCTAATACACATCATTGATAAGCTAGGGTAGAGTAAGGCAAGGACAATTAAATAGCATCGGTCGCTAAGCATCCCTCGCCATTCTCGAGTCAAGGATGAAGTAGGCCAAAACTTCTTGCATCTATCTGCCATAGACTCGCAGAAAGACATCAATTCTTTCTGGTAAGCTGTAACACCAAGTCCACTTAGATACGGATAGGTGAAAGATAAAATCCATTAAGCCATGCTGGCGGAATGAAACATTGAACAGGGACAGAGTGACTCCATTCCCAGTCGATGACTGCACGAAGGTTTAAATCATCGTCCCAGATCAGATTGTCACCATGTAGGTTCAAATCTCCATGCATCAACGTAAATGGGCCAAGATTTCCCTTCTCTTTTGTTTACGATGTGCTCACGCATTGACAGAAGTTATAGCATAGACCACCATACGGACCGTGCTGATCACCTGCCAGCTGGCCTCACCCGCCAACGGTCCGACCTGGACCGCCAGATATCCAGATATCTACTGTACACTACGTGACAGTAGGCAAGCGCTAGCAATCAATCTCCAAACCTTACACCCATGTCAAAATTCCGCCGGGTCATTTGACGCAATCCACACAGGCTCAATCCGCAGCGCCTTTGACTTTACGGAAACCAATCGAACCAATCCTGTCTGTCAAGGGTTGTCGCGGAGGTCTCCATGATGGTGCCGAGTGAGCCGACAAAGGATTCGGGAGATATCTTACGGATACTGGTGCAAACTAAAACAGATCTTGTTCCTGGAAATGGCTACGAGCAAAGAGTGGAGAATATGCGAAATCTCATCTGTCAGCACCACTGGAAGCGCGACTTCGACAAGCATCAGGATCGTTGGAATGTGTACGGTCACGAATTCAGTTATGAGCGCCGGACCTGCTACTTTCTTGTCGACTATGGCGATCTCGAACCTCCCGGAGAACTGCCAACGCTGTGGTATAAGTGGATAGGAGACTCCTTGTCAGATGCAGCCCCATAGTGTTGTGAAGCCACAAGTCAGTCCACTGATATATGTGAGCAGCATCGTCCTGGAGCAAGACCTACCTGCGAAAATACAATTCAAATTAAGAGAGTATCCGTTATCGAGACGACCAGTCTAGCACTCGCCAAGCAAACCTCGTGCACCATTAGATACGGTGACCTATCGCCGGGCCATTTGTACGAAACTTTGTTACGATATGAGCATCCTAGATTAGGATATTCAATTCTTACTGACACATCCAGAGGATGCAAGATGGCTTAGAGACAATGTCGAGTCTCGGTTTTGGTCGAAGATTCAGTCCTTATGTCATTTTGAGCGAATCGAACAAGTATTGAAATGAGCTGCTTGCTGGATAGTGCAGGATGGATGCGGTACCACATCGGGTCGACGGATCAGATCAGATCCTAGGCATCTTCAAAGTGGTAAGGATACTGCAGAGGCTGCGCAACTGGGTGGCCGACACATGCTGGCCTCGGTTCAAGGATGCGGTGCTCGGCCTTGCGACATGAAGGTGAAGGAGATGGTACTGGAGAAGATCGACCCGGTCAGTGATACCTGTCCTACGCCGAAGAAGCGAACCCTCTCGGAGAAAGTCAGCTCCCTTCGTAAACGCCTGAGCCAAGTTGCAGAGCGGGTGAATCTCAGTGGGGCTTTGCCGTACGCTCCGGTTATTGAGCTGTTGGTCCGGTTAGTTGCCAGGCAAACGAACCGTCCGGAAACCACTGGTGAGCCTTGCTTTCTTTCCTGAAGCCCCCCCTACAATACAACGTGAAAAGAGAGGAATAGGAGAAAGAAAGGCTAACAGACGGCTGTGCGGGGTCACAGAAGGCTACGTAGAGCGCCTTGCCACCCTGCACACATCCCTTCACCATAAGAGTGTATCGTCCCACGCGAACGGCCTACCATCCAAGCTACTCATCTGCCTGGGCAGCCAGCGAGCACAACCATCTTCGACCACCGCCACCGCCAACATCAGGCAAGACGCCGACAAACGGCCAGTGGCGACTATGCACGTTATCGCCAGTAGTGCCGATGACTTCCGCAGCTTCCCCACGCTGCGGAAATGGGCGCAACAGGCTCACAACGCCGGCAAGGCCTCGTTCCAGCGAGAGAACGCCGTGGTCGTGGCCGTGGTCGTGGCCGTGGCCCTCACCAAAACCTTCTACGACGCACTGCCTGCTGCCCTGACGACGGACAGCGAGGTCGACAGGCTGAACTTCATCCACCGCTGGACCAGCCACTGCGGCCCCCCTCCCCCGCGCACCACCCACACCCAGCAGCAGCCCTTCTTCTCCTTCGACCACTGGGAGGAGATGGCTGCCGCGCTAGACATCCGTCGTCGCTTCCGCGTGTGTGCGCGGTGCCAGAAGTGCCGCGGCATCTTCCTTTCCGCGCAGTCGCGGGCCGCGCCGGCCTAATAGTGGAGAACGTGCGCGGCGGCGACGACGACGACGACGACGACGCTGCGGACGATGCCGCGACGGGCCACGACAACGACGTTCTCATTCGTAACGCGCGGCTCAACACCGGCGCGTGGCGGTCCGGGTCGTGCGCCGAGCACCTCGGCCATCTGTTCTGTCTGGACTGCCGGGCCCGGGCGTGGATGCCCCGCGCTGCTGGTGTTGGTGGTGGTGGTGGTGGTGGAGATGACGACGAGAGTGGCGGGGACGGTGGTGATGGATGGACTACCGTTAGGAGATCAAAGCAGGATAAGCAGCCACGCGGGGGTGGGTTCGGTTGAGAAATCCAATGTATGTAGTGGTGGAGAGAAGCCTACTTATGGTAGGTTATGGAGGCCTGAACGCATGACTGTGCCAAAGCGATTTTCCCTCTAATGTTAGATATAGAGTTCCTGTGAGTTGAGAAAATAAAAATACAATAGATTAGCTGTGAAAATACATGGGGCAAATGCAATGGCAGTACAACCTGTCACAACCTAGCGCCAGCTAGAGTCATATACTGAAATATGGCGGTAGGAAATCAATCAAAACCAATCCCCTGTGGCTCAATTGGTTAGCGCGTCGTAAGTTCTGCCCCCAAGCAAAATTTGGTCGCTAAGCTAACTCAAGCAGTGACTGTTAAATTTAACAGGTATCAGGAGGTTCATGGTTCGATCCCATGTGGGGGAGTTGGAAATTTTTTTCTCTTTTTCTCCCCGCCTTCAGGGGCGTTCTTCCTGAACTTCTTGATCAACTTTTTGACTTCGACCTTCTTCACAGGTTATTGATGACTTGTTTAAATCATCAACAGATCCGATAAGGACACCGTGTGTTACGTGATTTGTAGGGGTCTCCCCACTTGGTGAGGACAGATGATGTGGCATCTGGCCAGCAGGTGGCAGCCAGCTGGCCTAGTACGCTATTCCCTTTTGGGACTAACCAACAGATCATGTCAGCCTACCACCGATGCCACTGCACCAGGGAGGCAAGAATGTCACCGACGCCGATCCATGGAGTGCTGGCATAGATGTGTCACGGCCAGGTGCAGAAACACGACCACCCCACAGGCGCCGGCCTGGTGGCCTGGCAAGACAGAAAACAGGGTCACGTGCAGATAAGATAGCTATCACTTCGGCCAAGTGATGAACTTACCAGAAGTAGTGATGGTCCTTCCTTTAATCCTATGATGGGCATCACCAAAAACATGTGATATCTATATAAGCCTATGCTTATGACTATGAGCCTAGATAGGGAGTGTAAGAGAATAGACTGGTAGTCACAGTGCAAGGTGAAGAGACATGAAGGGGTTACCAATGTATTGTCCCCTAGCTAGGTGTATGTAGGTTCTAAGACTACTGCTTACCGATCGGTCGGCGACCGGTCGGCAGCAGAACTATTCATGTGTAGGAGAGAGTGGCCCATGCGTCGCTCCAGACACCACCTTAAGGCTTGGTCCTGTGGCATAGCACTGCCACAGGCCTTTAACTATCCTTACAGGGAGAGCTTGACTCTCCAGCTTTTCAATACTATAGCTTGATTTACAATCAGCCGGATCCATAAGATCACAATCACCTACCTTTGTGAACATTCCTCAAGTACCCCTCGACCTATCTTAGGACATAACCCTAAGGACCCTTACCCACCTATCGAAGTACTGATAGGAAGGAAGCTATAAGATGTTACTTTACAGGACAATTTGTTACGGGCTTCGCCCAACTTGCGGTATCCAGGCTGGCGTCTGGACTTAAACTAGCCTGACGCACCATGGGCGAAGCTATCGCCAAGACCCCCGGCAAGTGCAATGCTGTTCACCAGGAAACCAGGGCGCTTGCATGTAAATTAGATATTGCGAAGAATTGGAAGACAACTTCTTCCTTTCCTCTTCAAGCTTGAATATAGACAATTCTGCGTCATCGTGACTGTATGGAAACCCCCTAACCGTGATCATTAACACAATTAGCGATGATGTCAAAGGAGAAGTATGTTTTGCGATTATAGACCTGATGAAGCAAGTCGATACTATTATTCCGTAATTGATTCATTTTATTTGGATACTGATTGTATCGATGATCCTTATATCAGTAATAACTTCAAGGATTTGCTTAGTCTTAGCGCCTAACACAGATGTCGATTTGATGGAATTCATAGACACTTTCAAAGAAACAAGATCATGATCAGCCTGCGCCACATAGAAGATCCAGCACCAAGGAGCCAGAGCCAAAGATCTGATCATTGCATGGGTGAGGCCATTGGATTCCCGTGCTCTCCATCTGCGTGCGCCTGATACTGATGGGATCTCTCTGGAACGAATGGTTCTTGCCGCTTTGAATGGGAATGAAATGGAATGCTTCAAGCAAGACCAAACCCTAGCAGTATACATCTTTCTCACTTACTGTGAGCTGGCTGGCTGACATTGCTGGACAATGGATGTGATTAGGTAACCTACCTACCTGAGCCTACCTACCTAGGTATAGGTACATGTAGGTACTTAGGTGAGTAACCCTAACCCTTGGAGCAAGTCGCTTGGGGGGTAGATTGTGGTGCAGGTTGAGGCACCTATAAG